CAACTACATGCACAGTAGTATGAGTCCACTGTGGTTATCTATCTTGAAGCATTTGGCAACTTGTCTTATGTTTGTTGTGTTGTCTTTTGTGGCTCCAGAGTTGCTTTGTTGCAACAAAGTGTTCTTGTGCATATGACAGTAAAAATATGTAAAAATAAGCAGCGCAAAGTAAAGGACACAAAACAAACCGACGCAACGAAAGACAAAACGTGACATAGAACAACTCAAACATAAAAGTGAATCTAGGTAGCATTCAGTGGGGGTCTAAGTAGCACTTGGTGACCAGCCACGGCTTCACCAAACAAGAGGGAAGCAGCTACAGAAGAAGCAGCTACCCCTGCCAAAAGTGCACGGCAGGCTTTGGCACCTACGACACCCATGAAAAGGCCAGCAGTATCAGTCAAGCCTCATGCAAAAAGCAAGGCAAAAGCGCCACAGCCAAAGGCGAAGCCAACCATAGAGAAGAAGAAGGAGAAGGAACAGAAGGCAAAAGCCAAGAGTAAGCCCAAAGCAGTTCCAAAAAAGCATGAAAAGGACAGCTTTTCAGACAAAGTGCAGAAGTGGAAGCTGAAGGAAGACCACAAAGGTGATGAGTCAGAATCAGATGATGCTGGTGAAAGTGGTAAAGGCGATGCAACAGTAGCAGCAAAGAGGGACTTGTCTAAGACAAGAAAATACAAGAGGTTGTCCGATGCAAATGCAATTCACCGACACAACTCAGAACATGCACATGGCCTCAGTAACAGTACATGGCCTATGATAAGTAACATGCACGTTTGTTTTTTCACAATATAACACCACAAGTTTAGGTATATAGTTTGTATTTCCTGATGTTATTCTATAGAATAACCTCAAGGTTATGTTTCAAAATAGACTATTTCTCAGTCTAAATTCAGGTCTATTTAAAATAGACTAATAGTTAGAAAATAATCTAGAAAAGCTGTTCTAACTATTAGTTAGGAAATAGTCTAATCTGGTCTTAGAGGAATATTGTTGGGTGCCGAGAGCACCCGATTTTGCTGCGAGGGGGGGTGGCCCAGGGGTACCCCACCCCTCAAATAATTCAGTCGGAAGCCTTCCGTGCATTGGAATTTTATAGCGAGGGGGTAGCCCAGGGGGCACCCCACCCCTCATTGTTCTTTCTATTTTTTGCTCTTGTTTCTCTTTGTTTTTCCCGAATGCGTAGCGAAGGGTTCCCGTTTATAGTTGGGGGTCTGGGGGTTGGAGCTGTGTTCGCGTGGCTTGCGTCATGTCGTCGTCTCTCGTCGTCTGTCGTCGTCTGTCGTCGTCTCTCGTCGTTTGTCGTCGTCTCTCGTCGTCTCTCGTCGTCGTCGCGTCTCAAATTTGCTGCCATTGGGGGAAGCTTTTGCAAGTGACTTTGCATGGATGTGTCACGTGTCAGTTTGCGACGCTATTCCATTGTGATTTGCATGACAACGACATGTCGCGCAAGAAACGTGATGCATTTCGCTGCACAGGCGCAGCGTTTTGTGAGATCCGCAGATTGCCGCGCAGTTCCATTGGGATTAGCGTTTGGAGAGTCGTGTTTTTGGGGTGTTGGATGTGGCCGTGCCATTGGGATTTGCGTTTGAGGGTGTGGCATCGAAGCTCGGTTTTCGTGACAAGTCTCAGCTGAAATGGCGATTTTGATGGATGGGAGTGTGCTCTGAACGGGTCGAAATCATTCCAAACGTGTGGTGTGGTGCAAATTTTGTTGAAGCTCACATGCGATGATATTGTCACTTTTCGTGGCAGGCGCAGGACTTCGTGCGGGTTTTGAAGCGTGGAAGTGCGATTCTCGTGGCAGGCGCAGGGAATCGTGAGGCTGCGAGGTGTGAGGGAGGTGACATTTCGTGGCAGGCGCAGTACTTTGTGCGCGTCAGACGTGTGGATGGGGAAAGATTCGTGGCAGGCGCAGGGAATCGTGAGGTTGTGAGTTGTGGTATAGGTGAATGTCGCTGTCACATTGGGATTGGCGTGTGAGCGGATGTTGTTTGGAGGGGCTGGAATCGCGAAACTGCTTGGCAGGGCTGCGTGATGTGTGTGCTTTGATGGGTGTTTCCGCTTGACTTTTGGAGGAAGTCTCGTACGAAACGCTCGTTTTGCTGACTTTGACGTGTGAGTTTTTGAGGAAGCCTCGTACGAAACGCTCGTTTTGGAGACTTGACGCGCAACCCTCTGCGGAGATCGCGCGTGTCGAGTGTGCGAAATGCAGGCGAGAGTGCGATTTGTCTCATGCGCGCGCAACCCTCTGCGGAGATCGTGCGTGTGAGTGACCCACAAGAGTGTCCTACAAGAGTGTCCTACAAGAGTGTCCCACAAGAGTGTCCCACAAGAGTGTCCTATAAGAGTGTCCCACAAGAGTGTCCCGCAACAGTGTCCCACTAGAGTGTCTCACAAGAGTGTCCCTTAAAAGTGTCCTACAGGAGTATCCCACAAGAGTGTCCTACAAGAGTGTCCCACAAGAGTGTCCCACAAGAGTGTCCCACAAGAGTGTCCCACAAGAGTGTCCCACAAGAGTATCCCACAAGAGTGTCCCACAAGAGTGTCCCACAAGAGTGTCCCACAGAGTGTCCCACAAGAGTGTCCCACAAGAGTGTCCCACAAGAGTTTCCTACAAGAGTGACCCACAAGAGTGTCCCACAAGAGTGTCCTATAAGAGTGTCCCACAAGAGTGTCCCACAAGAGTGTCCCACAAGAGTTTCCTACAAGAGTGTCACACAAGAGTGTCCCACAAGAGTATCCCACAAGGGTGTCCTACAAGAGTGTCCCACAAGAGTGTCCCACAAGAGTGTCCTAGAAGAGTGTCCCACAAGAGTTTCCTACAAGAATGTCCCACAAGATGTCCCGCAAGTGACCCACAAGAGTGTCCGACAAGAGTGTCTCACAAGAGTGTCCCACAAGAGTGTTCCACAAGAGTGTCCTATATGTCCCACAAGAGTGTCCCACAAGAGTGTCCTACAAGAGTGTCCCACAAGAGTTTCCTACAAGAGTAACCCACAAGAGTGTCCCACAAGAGTGTCCCACAAGAGTGTCCTACAAGAGTGTCCCACAAGAGTGTCCTACAAGAGTGACCCACAACAGTGTCCCACTAGAGTGTGTCACAAGAGTTGCCCTTAAGAGTGTCCTACAGGAGTATCCCACAAGAGTGTCCTACAAGAGTGTCCCACAAGAGTGTCCCACCAGAGTGTCCCACAAGAGTGTCCTACAAGAGTGTCCCACAAGAGTGTCCCACAAGAGTGTCCCACAGAGTGTCCCACAAGAGTGTCCGACAAGAGTGGCCCACGAGAGTTTCCTACAAGAGTGTCCCACAAGAGTGTTCTACAAGAGTGTCCCACAAGAGTGTTCTACAAGAGTGTCTCACAAGAGTGTCCCACAAGAGTGTCCTACAAGAGTGTCCCACAAGAGTGTCCTACAAGAGTGTCCCACAAGAGTGGCCCACAAGAGTGTCCTACAAGAGTGTCCCAGAAGAGTGTCCCACAAGAGTGTCCTACAAGAGTGTCCCACAAGAGTGTCCTACAAGAGCGTCCCACAAGAGTGTTCCACAAGAGTGTCCTACAAGAGTATCCCGCTAGAGTGTCTCACAAGAGTGTCCCTTAAGAGTGTCCTACAAGAGTATCCCACTAGAGTGTCCTACAAGAGTGTCCTACAAGAGTGTCCCACAAGAGTGTTCCACGAGAGTGTCCTACAAGAGTATCCCGCTAGAGTGTCTCACGAGAGTGTCCCTTAAGAGTGTCCTACAAGAGTATCCCACTAGAGTGTCCCACAAGAGTGTCCTACAAGAGTGTCCCACAAGAGTGTCCTACAAGAGTGTCCCACAAGAGTGTCCCACAAGAGTGTCCTACAAGAGTGTCCCAGAAGAGTGTCCCACAAGAGTGTCCTACAAGAGTGTCCCACAAGAGTGTCCTACAAGAGTGTCCCACAAGAGTGTTCCACAAGAGTGTCCTACAAGAGTATCCCGCTAGAGTGTCTCACAAGAGTGTCCCTTAAGAGTGTCCTACAAGAGTATCCCACTAGAGTGTCCTACAAGGGTGTCCTACAGGAGTATCCCACAAGAGTGTCCTACAAGAGTGTCCTACAAGAGTGTCCCACAAGAGTGTCCCACAAGAGTGTCCCACAAGAGTGTCCTACAAGAGTGTCCCACAAGAGTGTCCTACAAGAGTGTCCCACAAGAGTTTTCTACAAGAGTGTCCTACAAGAGTGTCCTACAAGAGTGTCCCACCAGAGTGTCCCACAAGAGTGTCCTACAAGAGTGTCATTTGGACATGTTAGTTTTTCGAACGTGTTTGCATTCGGGTTCGTGGGTTCCATCTTGTTTAAAGCATAGCTTGTGAACTTCCAAGTTCAATGCGTGATCAACTAGTCGACCGGTCCCCTCTCGTAAGCCCTCACAAGCCGAGGGGGTGGTCCCCTTTTAGCAAGCAAACTATCAGCGCTGGCTGTGGCAATTTCAGAGGGGGTGGGACACCTGGAAAATACTTGCGTATTTGTTTAGGTGGGGGACCACTTTTCCCTACCCAGAAGGTAGGGGGCATGATTTGCGTATGTTCTGTTTTCGTTTGAATTGCCAGTTCTGACCTTGAGCCAATTGAGCCAAGTGCTGAAACAAACCCAGAAGGTCCGAGTTGATCACCGCGAGCTGGAACGGTTTATTGTGGCTTACGTCATAAACGCACAAACTGTTTGGGGTCTACGCTGGTATATTGTTTCTAGATAGAATTGCACCTCTATAAGTGCTCTATATTTGCACTGAGTATGATCACTGGCCGACAGCTCTGGCAGAAGAGGCTGACGACAATGAGAGGAGAGAGAAACTGTGACACGTGCTCCTTGGTTTGTGGCATCGTTTTTGGCTCGGTTTCTGGGTCGGCCTCGGACCCCGGAAAGTCGGCTTGGTTTCAACCATATGCGAATCTGGTTCGTTAGGGGCCCGGTTCGGCTTGGTGTTTGGCACTTCCGGTTCGTTGCGGCTTGGTTCACGGTTCCGGTTCCACGTGAAGGACCTTGGTGTCCTTGGAACTGGAGGAGGCCATCCAGAGTCGGAGTGAACTCGAACTGAAGCAGGCTCGTTGGCTAGTGGTTGTGGTATGGAGTGAAAAATATACTCGAATACGTCATTGATCTAGGGGCAATTTGAGGAAAGGAACAGATGTTCGAATCGATTGGACATGTGTTGGTTGCCATCTTGCAGCAACGTGGTGAGCTCGAAGAACAATCGTGAAAAGACATCCAAATTCAGGTTCATTTGGATTGACAGCAGTATTGACAGCTGTTTTATTTAGTTCTAACACAAGTACAAATTGTTTGGGGTCGTGTGAAATGTCAGTATACACTCTTTACTCCCGTTGAATTTTCCCTTCACGCCCTGGTTCTCAGAGACTTTGCGGGCCCAAAAGAGGTCTCGCTGACGCCTGAGGGTTTCAATCGCCATGGGCATTCTACAATCAACCAACACCTTGGATGAAGTGAGGACCTCGCTAGCCGCTAATTGACCAACTCTGGCATTTGTCAGTCATTTGGTGCTTGAGTTGCTTACAGGATCTTAGTCTACCAAAAACCAAGAGTGACCGTGACCTTTCCTTGAGCCACTGTCAAACAACATTGAGACTGAACACCGATTTTGATTGGAATCCTTCCCAACTCCCATAAAATTTGCAGATCTATACGAGTTATTTTTTGATGTTGGTGGTTGCGGACGACCTGATACTCTCATCAATATAGCGGTGTTTGCCTGAGCAAGCAACCGCTGTAGATCGTGAGAATATCAGAGTGATGCGACGCACAGAAGGGATAAGAACTTGCAGATAGAACGAATAAACAACAAGTTGGTCACAAGAAGGGCAAAGATACCAGGAAATAATTTCAGAGACGAGAGAAGATCGGTAGACCAGTAGGAAAAAAGGGCAACAAAAAGGGAACATCATACAGTACTTGGAAAACAGAAGGGACGATAGCAAACAATTGAACTATAAACTTTGAGTGCATGCTAGCTACCGTTTTCGATTATTTTCCTATTTCCCCCTCCATTACCCAATGTGTGTTGCAAGCACTGGTTGCTCCTCGTTGACAAGAGCCTTTAAACGCCAATCATCCATGCTGGTGCCATACACAAAAAAGATAGTTTGTTTTGCGTCAGGAGTAGAGCTGAAGATCGTGTAGGGCATTTGTCCGTTGTGGGGCGATATCACCGTCTACCAGCGCGCCTGGAAGATGACTACAATGTGGAAAAAAAGGCCAGCTGACAGTTGTGGAAATTACTAAACATGACAGAAAGAACCGAGTGCTCAGCTTTATACAACCTCATTCTTGCAGTGGTGCTTGGGATTTTCTTCTCACGGTTGCAGACTGTAAGGTTAGTTAGTTGTGTTGAAATGCAACATATTTGCGCTGTGATGAGGCCCTTGGTACAGGATACAATGGCTCAGTGCTACTAGCCCGTGGAAAGACCAGAGTTGGCAAGTTTGCTGTGAAGGCACTGTAATTTGTAAGTCTTGCATGTTGCCAAACTGCTAGCTGCTAAAGGGCGGGGTGAAATGCTTTACAGTAATGTGAATGAATGCAATATAGAGATGCTACAGACAAGAGCCCCGGGAGAATCCGAGATTCTAACACAACTGTATCTATTTAGTGATGAATGAAAGCACGTTCTCATGGAGGGTATAGTACTATGAAGAGTCCTCATGTTTGCTCATTGTACCTTTATGAAATTTGAGCACGTGACGAGTTGCCAAAGCATTTGGCTGCCACAGGCTTTCAAGCTTCATGGAGTTAGCAAGGAGAAGAAGCAGGACCCTTGGCTGAAAGAGCATGTTACCATATATAATATACCCATTTTCAGAGGCTGCCTTGGCAATGGTTTTGGTGCAGGACAGTTGCTAGAAAGCTTGTCAATTGCAATGAACCGCCCTATCCGAGCTACAGAATTCAGTTCATGCGAGGAACTCGCCTCAGAAGCGGAGATTTTCCTGAGCATGGACCATCCCCATGTGGTGCGGCTTTTCGATGTCTATGAGGACATCATGTTACTGAAGCACGTACTCTCTCTCTCTATATATATATATTTGTTTTTGGAGTCTTGCTGCAAGCTGCGAGGGTGCCAACCAGTACCAAGTGGTTAAAGAATGCACTGTCGTTGTCCCCAGCCAGAAGACACCAGGAGGAGGACCGACTAAGTCTTGTGATGGAGTGCATGGAAGGCGGCGAGCTGTTTGACCGTGTACGAGAGAAGAAGGTCTATTCAGAGAAGGACCGTTGTTGGCACTGACCAGTGAACCTTGGGTGGGGCAACGCTGTTTGGGTTGATCTCTGTAGAAAGCAAAGCGGTGTCTAGATCTATGAATCTATTGAATCTATCGTAGATTCGTTGTCGAGAGACTGCACTGGGGCTCACTAGGGCTTTTGGTTGTGTTTTTCCCAATCTTAGCATTCCTCTCAGGGCAAAGTCCCACATAGTTTGGCTGCGATGTATGCAGAATGATCGATTTGTTTGGGCACCAAAATCCTTGCAGTTCATTTGTCAAGAGGGGAGCAGACTAGCTGAGCACAACCCTGGTAAAAACAACATGAAGAAACAACTTTTTGAAGAAGACTGGATGACCTCGAAATCTGTGAAGGATGCTTGTAAGACCACGCGGATGATGCTGCTTGCAGTGAACTACTTGCACAGCTGTGGAGTGGTCCACCGTGATTTGAAACCTGGCTACCCCAGCCAAAGTTGTGAGTATTGTCATTCACGCCACGAGATACTTGCACCTCACTACCTCACTGATGATTCCCGGATATCCCCAGGAAGCTCGAAAACTTTCTTTACGAGAACAAGAACTCCGACTTCTTGAAACTCATCGACTTTGGCTTCAGCAAAGTTTGGGCCAAGAACACGCGGATGGAACTCAGCTGCGGAACCTTGTCCTATGCTGCTCCAGAGGTTCTTGCCAAGTCGTATACAAGTCAGTGTGACTTGTGGAGTCTTGGTGTCATTGTCTTCATCCTACTTGCTGCTCGCACAAAGTCAGCCAAACGCACAGCAACCGCCGATTGTTCGACGATGTCCTTTCTTGCCAATGTTCATGTTTGATTAATTATTTTGTTTGGAACAAAGAAAGAGGACGCCATTAGGCTGCCATTAGGTGGAGCAAAGAAAGAGGACGCTATTAGGTGGAGGCCATCGCAAGTAGGTTGGAGGCCATCGCTACTAGTAACAAGAAGCTACTAGGAACAAGTTTGTGCCGCTGGAGGTTGGGTACATGCCCTTTGCTGGCTCAGACGAGCGAAAGCAGATTCATATGATTCGCTCAGGGACTTACCTCGTGAAAAAAGAGAGATGGGCAAAAGTGTCTCCCGGCACCAGAGAATTGGATCCACTTGTGGTAATTAAGGAGGGCCCGGGGCTGGTTCATTTCCACGCTTGCTAGATGCCTTTGAGTCTTCAAAAGATCTTCATAGGCTAGCTGAGTAAGGACAATTGTTTTTAAATATATACACTCAGACAATGTTCATCCTTCATGTGTTTTCCTGCACAAATGCAAACCAGGTTTCAATCGTGCTGAAAACACACACACGTGCAATATGTTGCAGGTTCTTCTAAATATGCACATGTTTTTTGTTCAATGTTAAGTCTTAGCTGTGGTTGTGGTTGCGTTCTTTGTTACAAGATACTTCAAGCTTCAATCTTTGCAGGGAGTTTGATCATGCTTGATATAGTTGAATAAGAATAAGTTTGATATATTCAGATGTATGCCACCAATCCAATCAAAGTCCTCGGTACACTTAGCTGTAACCTGCTTTGCCGCTGAAAACGCCGCAAGATATGATGAAATGTGGAGATTTGGCGATTCGATATCAGATGTCGACGGGTTACCTCGCTTGATCTCCAAACAGTCTGAGTTGAGGTCCTCCTTAGCTTCCGACTTTGTGAAGAATTTGCTGGTGGTCGATCCAGATCGCCGCATGACCGCGCCGGAAGCGCTGGAGCATCCTTGGATCAAGAACCAAAATCTTGCCAGCGATTGCATCGATGAAGCCATGGATACCTGCCCCAAAAGGTGTTGTTGTTGAGTTCAGGGTAAGTGGAACACAGCAGGCAAGCCTTCATGATGTGTTCACATGCTTTGACGCAACTTTCTGAAGATGATGCAGAAGTCTCATTCAGCAGATGCTGACAGCCCACATCGCCAAAGTCTTTGCAACCAGTTTCTTGTTCGGCTGCTTGAGGTGACCTCGCTGTGTGACTTCGCAAAGGCCCAGAGCTTTCGAAGGCTGGGCTCGGTCACCAGATGTAGACCTTTTCTTTCCGCGGATACTAGGGGCTCCTGGCCTTACTACTAGGAGCAAAGACGCTACTAGGAGCAAAGGGCATCGCTACTAATTAGGGATACTTGTTATGCATGGGTCGGATGGGTTGGAGTTGACGGAAGAAATCGTAGCTTCTTGTTCCTAGTAGCGATGCCAGGAGCCCCTAGTAGCGTTCTTGCTCCTAGTAGTAAGGCCAGGAGCCCCTAGTAGCTTCTTGTTCCTAGTAGCGATGCCAACACACCAACATGGCATTGAATCAGAGTGCGCTGAGTGCGGTGTAGGATTGATTCCATCGATTGTAGTTTCTGTATTGGGTGTACCATGATGTACCTAGTCAGACCAGTGAGACTTGAGAACATATTAATTGAGAAAGAAAACATTGTTGATAATGTACTGCTTGCATCCACTTGTTCGGAGACTCAGAGCCTCACACTAGCACACCCAGTATTCACTGTGTCACCTTTGCTGCATGTCAGGTTAGGTGATTGAAAGGAAACGTTCAATTGGGTTCTATTGGGTTGTTTGCTGGTCTCCAATGGTCATCAATCGTCTCCAATTAGAAGAGGGCATCGTGTTTAAGGCTTGACTGAGAAATTGGGCAAGGCTAGGGGTGGCTTCTGCCGCAGAGCCAAGGGGACGACTCCAGTTTTCTGACAAAACCTTTTGCAGGGCACTTTGATACGCGCTTCTTCTTACTAGTAGGAATGACCTCCAACCTAATAGCGATGGCCTCCAACCTACTAGCTTCTTGTTCCTAGTAGCAATGCCAGGAGCTACTCGTAGCTTCTTGCTACTAGTAGCGATGTCCTTTGTTGCTAGTAGCTTCTTGCTACTAGCGCATTTTCCTTCGCGTCAGGTCTTGCATGAAATTGATGGCTTGGTCTCTCACTGCCCCAGAGAGGCTGGGGGCAGTCCTGTGACAAGTGATATTATGTGTATATATATATATACATATCATTATGAATAAATATAGATTGTCATACAGTTGTATTTGTACAAAGGCTTTGTTTCAAAGGGTTTTACACCTAGAAGTGTTCGCTCGATGCAGAGCATGGACCTGGACAGGACACATTGCGGGTGTTTGTTAGTGTATGTGAGATGCAGGTGGATAAGCACGCATGTGGATGTTTATGTAAAATGTTTCCTGATTGCTTTCGATACCGAGTCCTTTGTGGAAGAACATTTACAACTGATGCCAAGAACCGTTCAAGATTCAAGGGACAATCTTTTCGGGACGGTGATTTTGTATGTTGTTTCAGGGATTCCCGCATGAGCGCAAAGTGAGTGAAGTCTTTTTTGATATCGGATTCAGATTCATGTTAGACTTTCAATATATTACTCAGTATATAATATATAATGCCAAGGATATTGCTATGTTCCTGACAAATCTTTCACTTGTGAAGCCAGAGAACGATTTGATTAGGCTCGAGTATGAGACACAATGCCCACCTTTGCCCTAGGGCACAAGTGCGAGACGCCTTTATGGCACTGGACAAAGACAACACGGGTACCATCACCATGAAAGACCTCAAAACTCTTCTCGAGGACTGCCTTCGCGCCACGTTTGGCGCTTTTGTTTTGGTTCGACTTTAGTTTGTAAATCAAGCTTTGTTCCAAGCTGAAGGAAAGTGCGTTTCAGTGCTGCTGATCTGTGGAGGACAACTTTCATCTTCCGGAGGAAGACCAACAGCACGTCTTCAATGCCTTCAGTGATTCAGAGCACCCGATGGATGACAATGAGATCCAATACTCGGAGTTTCTTGCTGCGATGATGGCTTCCCGCATTGCTCTTCATGATGAGCTTTTGAAAGATGCGTTCAGGACCGGTCACTCCGGCTGCTTGGGAATAGGGACAACGGTATGTTATGTTTTTGCATTTGGTAGAGTGGGTTTTGTCCCTGCAGGCGTTTCGACACTGAGAGCACGGGCTACATTCGCAGAGAAGATCTTTTCAAGATTTTAGAAAGCGAGACAGAGGTTGCACAAGTGATGAGAGAATTGGATGTGAATGGTGACGGCAAGATCTCATATGAAGAATTTATAGGTCCCTCAGACTGAATTGTTGGGATCTACTAACATGGCATTTCCAGTGATCTTGTGAAAACAAGTGCTATCAGTGAAAAATAATCAATCTTTGGGAACAATCTTCAGCAGTAGTAGTAGTAGTAGTAGTAGTAGTTGTTGTTGTTGTTGTTGTTGTTTTGCACAATAGACATCACACAATCTCTATGTTCTTAGAGCTTGCACGCTTGTATGCAAAGCCACCTCGCCGCGCAACAATGATACCGTACTACACATCCCTGCGATGCAAAATTGACCAGCATTGTATATCCCTACTTTGTGCCAATGTGACTTTTGTGGCTTTTGTTGCTTTTCTCTGCTCTAGTGACTCTAGTGAGCTGAGTCACTTTAAGCCAAGAAATCTTAATCTTGCCCGAACATGATTGAGGCTATCTCAAAGATGGGAACGCGGCAGATGATACCTTGGAGGCCGCGGAGCGGGCCATCTCCCGGGAAATCATTTGCAGACACAGGCACGGCACATGGTCGGCAAGGTCGGAACTTTCGGTTGGGGAAGCCAGAGAGATGATTTAGATCCTTTTGGAGCCAGGGCCAGGCCCCAAACATGCTTAAACATGTTTTGACAAACATAAGAAAAGACTTATCAACAGTCTCCAATATGTCAATATGTTAGGGGCTGGCTGTTAACTGCATAGTGATCCTAGTTCGCCCATGTTGGTCCCAACTCGAGGGACCTGTCGGATCAACAGCGCTCAGGGAGGATGGCTCAGAGCCCAGACTTCGAAAGCGCGACAAGCTGAAGGGCATCTTCCATCGAATGTTTTCCAGCTAATTTTGACTGCCCCAAGGCTGTCCAAGAGACTACATGTATTTATTCATATTTTGTCTGAGATCGAATCATGACTCGTTTTTGAACATGTTTTCGTTCGTGTGCCGGTTCTTTCACATGTGGTTTCAACGTGAGCCTTGAGGCTGGCTTTTGGCATGCTGGCACCAGACAGATTCAATAAGTATATGTGTGTTTTGTGTATGTACGTATATATTTTAAATATATATAGAACCGATTGGCTGACAGAACGACTAGAGATGAAGAATCTACATGGTGCTGGGAATGCAGCATAGGTGTCATGAGGATGGCCGAGGATCAGTGCACGAGTTTTGTTCTTTTGATCAGCCGACCTATTAGAGTCAACAGATCAGTCTCGGTAATCCTGGATCTTGCTGCAAAGTGGGTGCCGTGGGTGTTGCGAAGTCCCTTCCCACGACATCCAGGTCTTGAGGCCACTTTCACCTCTCGCTTGCGACGTTTGGTCAAGGCCGACTTGAAGACCCAAGCGGCCAAGGACAAGCGAGGTTGTGCAGAGTTTATAGGCAGCTCCCAGCAGCATCTATGCTGGAAAGACTGACAAGACTGACATCGAATCACAGATCTCAGCATTCTTTACACATCCCTCAAATCCTTTCGATGGCTGGAAGCCAGGGAAGTGACACCTAGTGACACTTCGGGGAATGAACTGACACCACTCCTTACTCCAAAGAAGAACATTGCAAGCTTCTGCTAGTGGAATGCACATGTGTCATAGATGCTGTGATTGCTGGACCACGACATCGTCGTAGCCAAGCGCTTTTGAAGTCTTTGAACTGCTTGAGTTGGAGCTGGGGAGGCTCCGACGACATCCCATGCGTAGAGCTCCGTGGATGTCCCGAAGGACAGTTGGGCGTAAGCAGTTTGTTGGTTCAACCTCAACAGAGAGCGATGTGGAAAAAGGGGTGCAACACGCTGGTAACACGCATAAGTATGGACAAAAAGTTACTGTGTGTGTGTGTCAGACTGTTAATTTCCGTCAATTTGGGATGATTCGGCGCACGAAAACAGCTTTGTTCAGGCCATTCTCAGCGCCCACCAGTACGACCATCGAGGTTCAAGGCACGTGCTCCGAAAAAAATGATTTGATATGATTTGACCCTGGTCGTATTGCTTCGTTGGATATCAAACCAAGTGCTGAGCAGAGGAATGTGTGAAATAATGTGCAATATATGTTGATTTGGTGATCGTAATATGTATGAGGTGAATGTTTCCATGCAAAAGGACGTACAGTACTTGCATGTAATGGTGTGGTAATGTAATCCGGTCCACCTAATAAAAAACACGGCCCCCCCCCCCCCAAAAAAGGAAACCTCGGTCGCATTTTTTTTAATAGGGGGTCCCTGAAATCGGGGGGTCCAAAATAGGTCACCTGGGAAGAGCTTCAAAACCCAAAAGTAAATCAGTAAAATGTTGTATAAAATCCTTTATTAAACTCGTATCAAAAATGCAAAAAAGCTCCAGATCGAAGGGTCTTCCTTTTCCCCTACAAAAACCTTCATTAGAATAGGGATTCTTCAGTAGACTAACAGCTAAAGCTTTCGAAAGGTGATGTCGCTGTGCCATGCGGTGTTGCATGACCTCGGTGGCAAGTGCGTTTGCGTGAGTCCGTGCCATTGGGGGAAGGAAAGCCTGCTGGTGTAAGCGCGGCGTGTCATGGTGGATAGACAGGGCGGACAGAGGTGGGCAGTTACGGTTGTTTTTGGAACCTAATTAAAAAAACTCCTCCAAAGTCGGCAATGTTGGTAGCTCAGTAGCGGCTTGAAAGGGCGGTAATTTAAAAACAAATATAAACCGTATTTAGGGGTTTCCGACATGACTTTTGTTTTATAGGGGTCCGTTTTTTAATGATTTTTTAATAGGTACTCGGGACTAATGTAACGGTATGGTAATGCATGTATGTATGTGAAATTATGTGTGGTCTGCAATGCTTGCAAAGCTTTGTTTATTTATATAATTTTGTATATACAGAGGGAGTTCACCAGGCTCTACAAGGAAGCCCTTGAGACTCTACAGCAAGTCATGGAGGAGAAGCGTGTGGAGCAAATGGCCAGGCTAGAAGCCGCTTGATGGCACCGCTTTGGATCTAAGACATGCCACCGGTTTTGTTTGCATGTTTTGCATGACTTTAAAGCATTTGTTAAACAAGTAAACCAAGTGTGTTATCAAATCATGCTTACTTTGTAAGTCGAAGCCACAAGCTCATTTGGTTGCGATCCATAGCCACACAGCCACACGACTTTTGCAATTCACAACCACAGAAGTCTGTGGGTGCACAACTGAGGCATAGATTGGCAATCTTGAAAATCGTGAAATATCGCGCAGTGTTGGCCAACTGCTGCACCTTCTCATAGTAATTGAGTGTGAGTTGTCAGACAAACGCCCAGCCAACAGTCTCTTGTTTCGAGCGTGTTCTCTGGCAATAAACATGTGTAATCTGTTACTAGGTTGGAGGCCATTGTTTTTAGGTGAGTGACCTGAGAGTGGAAGGTTTCCACATTTCCGGCCAGGCAGCTGGCAGATGCAGCGGCACGGGGTGACTTAGAGACACTGCATGGACTGTTGCAGGCACATTGAGGGGGTTTGCAAATGTTTGCAAGGGCCACAAGAGCTTTGTGAGTTGGCTTCGGTACCTCAGCATGTCTGCCTGGCTGAAAGGCAGGCCACTCATCGCAAGCAGGACTGCTCGGTGCACTTCTGACCCAATCCAAGGTTGAAGAGTTTTTGATCAAATGGGGCGGGGTCAAATTTTCACTAGATTAGTCAGATTAGTACAAGACTGACACACCATTCCAGACTGAAACTCGATGTGATATGCAACGGTTTCATTCATGTCTTGCCAGGTGAATCGCTGAAGCCATTAAAAAACCTTTTAGGAGCAGGAACAAAGGGCATCGCTACTAGGAGTGTCATGGAGACCTCGCGCTACGTCCGAGGACTGTCGTTGCGTTCAAGGCCTGAGTTTGGCGAAGCAGAGGCGACCGAAGGGGCGACCTGGGAAGGGGCCAACGTCTTCTCTTCACGCAGGGCATCGCGACTGGGAGCAAAGGGCATCGCTACTAGGAGCAACGAAGCTACTAGTAGCTCCTGGCATTACTAGTAGCTAGAAGCTACTAGTAACACTGGGGAACATGCAACTTCCCTGACACTTCCCTGACACTGCGACAGTGGATGATTTGCGAGGCAGCACTCAAGAAGGGTGTGCGAAGAGCTGCCATGTGTTATCGCATGCACCGTCACTTTAATGATTCATTTGTGTGCTTGGGAAGTAAGATCGTGCTATGACGTTCAGAGGATTATGTGGAAACATGTGATAGTTTTGACCTGCTGTGAATTTGCGAAATTGACTCGGAGCTCTACCCCATAGCCAGGCCATTGTTCCTCTTTTGAGTCTTCAGAGTCCCGCCAGGCCAATCATTGCAACGCGCTACACACAGCGGAAGCCGTCGGCAGGTGCGGCAGGCCTGCGCTGAGGCCTGACCATCTGAGACCCCAAGAAACGTTGCAGGCGAGTCTAGACATGTGGGGCCAATTGGTGTTTGGAACTGGTTACTGGTTGTCTAATAGTTGTGAGTGTGACCAGAATCATGTGTTTTTGTTGCCCACAGCTTAGTGATGGAAAATGGAGGTTTACCTTGCCCACGGCTTACTTCAGCATCTTCAGCCCCAGTAGGTCTTGAGAGTCCCAGTGACTCCATGACTTGAGGCTCTACAGTACGGCTTCTCAGAGCTGCCAGAGTATCAGCGCCTGGTGGAGTTGCAAAGGTGGGAAGCTGAAGTTCATGTCCAAAAAGGCAGAGTTGTTGATCGATGGGCTGAATCTGTTTTTCATGTCCAGCTGATGAATCCGGAGAACTCGTATTGAGCTGGCTGCTTTAGGCAGCTTTGCCTACAGAATCTTGAAGATGTCGCGTTCTTAGTTGGTCAGCAGTTGATCCGTGCAGAACATCAATTCTGAGTCTGGATACGAAGCCACAAAGCCTCATTGATTGGGGCGCTGCTATTATACTAAATTACGAAAGCCAGCCGATAGGCTTGTCCGGAGTTGTCGATGGGCGAACGAAGTGAGTATTAGGGGGTGTGGGGGAGCGGTCGCACAGAGGTCAATCTGGTAGGGCGAGCCCAGAGACTGGTGGGGGAGAGCGAAAAAATTGTGCGTCCGAAAGGGAGTGAACATGTATGGTTTGGGGGGTGTTGTGATGCGAGTGATGTAATTGACGGTGGGAGTTCATGTCGATGGCAGGAAACGGGGGACAACGGGACGCGAAAAGTGGTTGGAGCTCCTCTAGGAAAGGGAGATGTGCGTGTCTGGAGGCTCTTTGAATAGTCTTCGACCAAAAATAAAAGGAGTGCGTCTCCCAACGCACGGCTGTCTTGTGGCAAGAAATGATGTGATCCGTTGAGGGCAGGAGAGGGAACAGAATGCAGTGGGTCAGCTTTGAGTTGCTCGGGGGTGCTCTTTTTCAATGGTGAAGAGGCATAGTAACCAGACGCGAAAGGGCATCCCATATGCGGTGGGAGTTCACGGGGAAGACAGGCATAGCCGGGGGACGTGGTAGAAGAAGAGGGGTTGCAAGAAATTATGTGACCCGTTTTGGGACAGGAGAGGGAACAGAATGCAGTGGGCAAGCTTGCTATTGAATAGTCTTATGATCTGTGGAGGGGAGGAGAGGGAACAGAATGGAGTGGGTCAGCTTTGAGTTGCTTGGGGGCGCCCTTTTTCAATGGTGAAGAGGCACGGTAAAGAGGCGTGGAAGACAGGCGTAGCGGAGGGGACGTGGTAGGAAAAGAGGGACTGCAAGAGGGAACAGAATGCAGTGTGCCAGCTGGCTATTTACTATTTACATAGTCTTCTACCAGGGGTGAAAGGGAGGTGTAGACTGCAAACGATCAAACCAAGCAGCAGACTGCCATCCATCCGCTCTTGGCGGCACGCCATGACTCCGTCTACAAGACAAGAATAACAAGGAGCAGCCAAGCCAGTTCCTTCGGGGTGCCCTTCTTCAGCTTGACAACGCCCTGGAACCGCGGGAAAAGGCCCTCCCCCCCGCACTATATGTTTTGCTTTCTGGTTTCTACCACCAGCCGGCATGGCTACGTGTCGACTTCACCCCATTACAATGCGACTCTTTGCGGGATGTTAAACACTCACTCACTTGATCTTGACTGTAACGTCGGACCACCATCTACAAAGCAAGGATAACGAACAGCGTGCAAGCGCCCGTCGGTTCCTTAGGGGTGCCTTTTCTCAGCCTGAAAACACCCTTATATTATATATAAGCCAAAGGAAAGAAAAGGTCACCCCTCCCAAACCTATATTTTTTGCTTTCTATTGCCCCATAACAAAGCCACTCCTTGCATTTGCCTGATGTGAAACACTCACTTGTTCTTGGGTGTAACGTCGGTTTTAAGTCAAAAGACAAAGCGCTCCCCCAAACCTAGGTCTACTGCTTTCTATTTCCAACAGCAGTAGACATCACCGCCATGTCGACTTCCCCCGACAACAATACGATCCACCCTTAACAGCACACCAGGTTCATGAGTCAACCCACAAAACACGAGAAACATCGAGAAACAAACCGCAGACAAGCAATGACTTCGGGGTGCCCCTTGTTCTCTTCAAAACGCTCCTTCATCCAAATGAAAAAGGGCGCCCCACCCCCCACCTGTGCCTGAAGGTCTCTCATATCGGCCCCGCCTTATGCACTCTCGCGTTCACCCATGACCATATTGACATCTTCTTACGGAGGCTGGCTTTCCTCCCCTCCTTTCTCCGGTACATATATATATATTATATTCATTTATTTATGTGCATTTGGAGATACATTCTGTGGAGCCAAACTTCGGAGAGCCAGCTTGTTTCACCTTCAGCCATGTTGCTCGTTTGCAAGCCAGGCCTCTCAGCAGCGGAAAGAGGAGACCATATTACATAAATAAACATACCGTTTGCGTCTGGGGATGAGTGGTAATTTGTGTGGTTGCTTGACTCCTCGACACAAAATTTGTTTCAAATTCATCGAGATTTGAGCTTAAGACTGGTTTGCCAGTATGATGTCATCAGGTTTTTTTAGGCGTATTTATGTTGTGTTTGCACAAGTGAATGCGCAGATGATATTATGTGATGCCTGGCAGTGGTGCAAGAGTCAGTTGTATGTGTTTGGCCCAGTTGTTTTCCGAGAACTACAAGTACAACTCCTCAAAGACCTTTCACTGTGGTCATTTGAACATTCTCAGTTTCCATTTCTACTTGGCAGGAGACTTTGCACGAAAGACTCAAAGAGTTTATTGAGGCAGGCAGCACAGCACGGGTTAGCCCTCATTGCTTCTTATTGGAGGTTGCCTTGCTTTGCAACTGAAGTGCTCAATCCCTTCACTAAATAGACCTACTCTTTGTAACTCAGATGTGCCCAGAATCTTGGGACTGTGGAGATAGCCTATAGCCTGCAATTTATGCAGGTGCTCGGCTAATGGCTGTGTGTATGCGTGTCTTGCACACACCATGAAACCCAGGAAGTCACAAGGTCTAACGGCACCTAGCGGCCTAGCGCAATGCAAGAGCTCGATCAGGATCCGGATCTTCTAGATTGGGGCCGCAAGGACTGCCAGCTTCGGAGTACAGTTGTTCCTTTCATGACCACTCAACGTTGCAAGCGGTTGGATTCCTGACACAGCACCTTGGCTTAGTGGCTTAGTGAGGATCAGAATGCCTCTGGATCTTTTGCTTCAGACCTATTTCACGTTCGCAGCTAGCTATGTACCTCTTCATTGACGGGTGCACAGTCAAGCGTTGAAGGATGCGACTCACTTTCACATCTTTCACACGCAAAGCTTGTTCTTTTCTGCAAGCATTAAGAAGCTAGACCATGAGTCAAGAGTATGGACTCGGCAGTTTACCAAGCTTTGCTGAAATTCAATTACCAGATGCCCATTTTTGCAAGAGCGTTGTGATGGATGGCCGAAGACATCGAAAAAGACTGGGAGGAGGAAGCTTGGAAGCAGCTCGAGGGAACCATATGGACAAGACATCCATGTTGGACAAAGCATTCAGTGTGAACATTTCTGGGAGGGGTTGGACACCTTGTGATTTGTAGGGTTGAAAGATGAACCATGAGGGACCACTTGGATTGGACCTACAAGTAGTGCATCTGAGTTTGCGTTGTGACTGTGACCTGTGAGGAATACGAAACCTACATCCATCATGAGCCACCTGATTCTCCGATCATTGTGCCCCAGATCAAGAGGAATCGGCTACCCCGAGAGGATTGTGTTTTTGTCGACTTCACCAGAGCTTCAACCCGTGGTGCTCCCTTGTGCCGTGCCTTTCACGCAGGCGCAATCAAAAGGGATTGTTCACAATGTTTGGTGTTTCTGTTCCATGCTAGGCAAATTGGCAAATCGAATCTGACTTGCCGTAGAATCAGCTTGTGCAGTTCGTAGAATAGGTTCCTGGTGCCGAAAGCAGCCTGCCAACCTGTAGCCGCCGCTGTATCCGAATCCCTTCAATCAATTCTGCCTTCATGTGAATCTCTTGTACTAAGTGACAAACTCCATTCAGCTGCATCGATGAACTCCATTCACACCCCAAAGCTTCCGCACATGTTCATCACAAAGCTTCCGACTTGCGATGACCCAAGAGGCATTCCCATTTGTGGCAGCCAAGCTGTGCTGGATGATTGCCAACTACACTACCGTGCCTGGAGAGGTCCAAATGGTCTTTCCTATGAAGATTTGAAGACTGGTCAGATTGTCACTGAGCTTCCTTGCACTAGCTTCTTGGATCAAACCCAAAAGTCCTATTTTCTTTCCCTGCTTGTGTTTCAGTTTTTTGGGATTGCACGTGGTAGAGAGTCAGTTGCTTGCCGTGACAATGTCAACCAAGTGAGTGTGCGTGGGTTCTCCCAGGCTTCAAAGATCGGAAGAAGGAGTTGAAGGCTGACAGCTCGATACAAGTGGATGTACATATACATGACATACCACACACGTATAAGCAATCGTTGAGCAACCCGCAAGATCCAGCCAGGGTTTTTTAACCGTCGTGTAATTTGGTGTGGAGTGGAATGTGATGTGATCAAAGATGGGTGGCGAAGTGCAGCAAACAGGTTGGAATGTGGATCGAGCTGCGCTCCTGCTTGGGCAATCAGTGGTATGATGGCAGCCCAGGACAGTCCAGACATTTGAGTCGGTTGGAAACATGGGCCCCCAAAATCAGTTTTTTTTGTTTTTCAGTAAAATAAGATCCATTCAGTGATTGTGTGCAGTCGTCACACTAGCTTCTCTTTCCTGTGGTTCCTAGTAACAAGTGAGTGCGTGTTGAGCTGTATGCATCAATAGCCACGGGTCAGTTTTGGTGGAGAATCGGATGAGTCACGTGAAACTGAGGGGTCATAATTCTCTTCTGCGGTCAGCAGCAAGCTTTGGTGTGGATCGCCGACTATTCCACTGAAGTTGTTCCTTGGTGGCACAGCCGGTAGGTGGAAGGTCAAACGTGCAACTGCGTAGAACAATGGAATGTCATTTGCGAGGTAATGGTTAAAGTGACACATGATTATATTATATTATATTTGATGTGGTGCAATGTGAAATGGTACAGTGATTGTGATGTGGCGGACTGTAGCGTGGTGCAGAGGAGTCTGAGACAAGACAAAGCAGCCGGTTTTTTTGGACATGGAGACCACCTAAGGTAGTGTCGCAAGATGAGATCCTACCAATCTCAAAAGGACGAGCTGTGAAGTGGGAGGATCCCAGCTCTACGAGCGGGTTTATGCATGGAAACCTACCAGCAATATGTAATGTGCTGTCAAGCTGAACATAACTAAAATATGAAGATTATTCTTGCCTCAAATTCCAAGTTGTGGTTTATGCTGGGGCTTGCTATGAATGGTCTTTGGACTCGGTCTTTGGGACTGGTTCCCCACGTGTTGTGAAGGAGTTGCAACGCTTCAAAATCGATCTCCCTAGCACTCCCTGGACTCCATGGATTACAGTAAAATGATTTAACGTACAGTATCATGAATCATGAGTCTGACGGCATCATAGCTTGGGCAGAAGTAAATTTGCACAGTCTTGAGCCAGTGTGGCGTCAAGGAATCATGCGAAGAACGCTGAAAGATGAAAGGACCCACGAAATTGTCTATGAAGAGCCTCGACATCGATGACTGGGAGGTGTTGGTGGAAAGGAGTTATTGGACGGGTATGTAACCGGAATAATCCGGAATGTATGTTGTATTAACTTGTATTATATGTTGTTACAGTAGATATAAGGATTGAACTTGGTACTCACTGCAGTGGAGGTCCCAAGGATGGACACTGGAGAGTACCCTCTTTCATGCGCTTCATGACGATGTACCTAAAAGTGTTGATATTGCAACAGAAATTGTACTTTTGCTACTGCTGGTAACAGTCATCATGTCCAACCAACGAGTAGCTATAAAACTCCAAGGCGAAAAGTCCCTTTAGCAGAGGCAGGGACCTTTGGAGATACCTCTTGAATTCCTGAAGATCAACAAGTTGAGCCAACAAAATGAATCTTAATTCTGAATACTCATCATGAAGTCGTGTTTCATGTCCACTGTTCAGTGTTCAACATCTCGTTCCTTGCACTGGTGCTTCATTCAGGTAGACGACTCATCCTTGTGGTCACGCGGTTGCATGCAACTGTCGCCAATGCAGATCTGCGTGTCGCGCTTCGACGGCCTGGATGCCGCAATTCGAAATTGTGCCTCTTCGTCTTTTGCTGAGCACCGAGTGGTCTTTGTCAAGAACGACATGGTCCAGGACATGCGAGGTCCAAATGTTGAGATGCCAAATCTCTTTTATCATTGTTTAGGTTGCTGGTTGAAAATTGAAAGTGATATGATCTGATATGTATTTATTCCTTGTGAATTTTAACGCACAAACGAATCTTGCTAGGATCTCCTCTTGTGTGTTCTTCGTTCACGGAAGGTTTTGGCCAACAAAAGTTGCACCCCAATCCTTAGTCTTAGTTGATTCGTTCCTGAATCCTTCGTCGATTCGATCCTGAATTGTGCTCAAATTTCTCCAGTGAGACTTATCGCATTCCCCGACATTGCAAGAGGATGCAAGAGATAAGGCCTGCAATTCTGATTTGTCACAGTTTGGGAAACCAAGTGGTTTGGGTCCAAAAAGCTGAGTCTATAGAACGATGATTTTAGGCAGACTCAGTGAGTCTGTGCATGAAGAGGAGGACTTCTTTGTGCATTTTCCTTTCAAGTTCCAGATGGTAGAGGCCAAGCTGCAGATGGGCCAGGCACCGATTGCTCGGGACATTTGTGATGTAAAGAGATGAAAAAAGGACTCTAATCAGGCCAGCATAAGGGGAGCTTGCCTTCCATTTTGTTCCATCCCTCTTGTACATCCGTGTTTCGTTCCATCTAAACCCCAAATGCTGAAGAGATTTCACACAAGACTTGCCTCCTTCGGGTCAAATCTGGCTTGAACGGCAGTTTCTTTCTTGGAGTTGCAGGTGGCCAAGTGGCCCTTGCTGATATATTTGCACGGCTCTGCTGGTGGTACTTTCTTCTCATTCTGCAAACGTGAGATGCGTGTTGAAGGACGATCATGCTGTGAAGAGCTTCTTGAAATTTATTGAATGTCATTTTGTGTTGACAGTTGTGGCCAATAGCAATCATAGATGTTGTGTGATGTTGCAGGAGCACGGTATGCGGCTGAGCACTTCATCATCGTGTCACCAACCTGCCCTTTGTCCATGTTTTTGTATGTTTTTTTTTGAAGTTGCCATCCTTCTATGCAGCATTTCAATGCATTTCATATAAGATGTGTTCGACTTTGTATGTCATATCTCTTCATGATCGACTTTGCAAGTTGAACTACTTCAAGAAGCAGCCTTCCAATCATGTCGGATATCATAGATCAGATGAATCATGAATCCTATACTTCAAGTGAACTTGGATGGTTCTCAATTTAGAGTTTCTCCAAGGTCGTTGGGGTTGGAAAAGCTCACCGGACTCTTGGATCTTGGAGCTGGTTCAGGAGCACCAGCATGCACCAGCTCCCTGTTGCAAGGGCCACCGTGAGATCCAAGAATTTGTGTCCACTTTGTGGTCTTCAAAATACAGCAAATATTATAATCTACGTTGAACGGAAAAGAGCACGTTAAGTCGGGAAGTTTTCATGGTTTTGCACGCGTTCAACTGAGATCAACACCTTGGCACCATGATATGTTCGAGTAAAATCCCTGTTGTCGTGCTTTGCATGAGAGCAGAGGAGCTATGCAAAATGCCCTATGTGGATTCCAGCAAGGTCTACTTGACCGGCGTTTCCATGGGAGGCAGCGAGAAAAAATAGTGCTATGGCTATGTACATCTATAGTCTACAGTATTTACCACAAATGCTGGGCGTTTGCTGCATACGCACACCCTTGGTACTGCAACTAAAATAACAAAAATCATCAAAGCAGATTCTTTTACGGTCACCAGGTCTAGTGCAACAAAATCTGTTCACCAAGTCCTCTCTAAAGCCCTGATGGTTTCATTTCTATTCAGGCATGGGCTGTTGGGAGCTGACGATGCAGAAGCCCAAGCTCTTCGCAGCGATCGCGCCAGTGGCAGCCTACCACAAAGCATACTTGCGAAGCCAAATTGCAGAGGCCACAGGGTGCAAAGTGGTCAAGAATTGTTCACCCAATGTTGTTCTGCCAATCATTCGCTCATTTCTTACACTCGCCCTTGGACTTGGACCGATTGTGTTTTAAATTGAGAAATTCTAAGTTGATTTGTTGGATCTTTGTGCCCGCACGTGTACGTCAGTGGTTGAAATGTGTTTTGCATTTTGCATCACCAGGCTTTGAGGAACACCCCGGTTTATGCGGTGCATTCGAAGAAGGACCGTTGCCGACCGTTTTGTTGCTTTGTAGGAGTCACGTTTGGTGGCTTGAATGAACGTTGTTTGAGGACCAGACCTGCTCGTTGGAGATCGAAAAGCGATTGTATGCGGAGATGCAACAGGTACGAGCACCCTTAAGAGTGGATCTATGCGAACTGGTGCACACAGAGATGAATAAGGCTCACATGAGCAGCTCCCAGTTGTACGCAGCCTGGAAGCAAGAGGCAGTAGCGGTGTCTACGTTTGGATGGTTGATACCAGCAAGTTGCGGTCATTTTATATTTAGACTTTGCATGTTTTTGCCAAGTAGACTTCACCTCGAAGAGAATTGCAAAGTCAGGAATGGATGCTCCGCTATCCGCATTGCACCACTCCTGAGTGGAGTGACCCTCCAACCAGAAGATGGGGAGGGAAAACGGGGCTGCAGCTCGAGCTTCAGATCAGGAACAGCATTTTCACGATTGGGTGTATATACATGCAGCTCTTTCTAAGTGACTCATAAATAAATGATAAACCTTCTCCTATGATGGAGGCTGAGGTCTCCAGCCTTTCAACTTGCTTTCAAATTAATCGGTTCATTGAAGCATCAGTAAATTTCATGCCAACCATCCGACAGGAAGCCGGCTTTCAGACTGCAATCCAGGCCTGCAGTGTTTTCTTCTGTTTATTCAGCATGAGAGCTGGCAGAGACACGAGCTATGATAACGCAACCAATACACTACACTGGCTGCATCTCAATAGTTTGCCTCAGGCAGTTGAAAAATGATAATGTTCTCACATAACTTTCACTAGAGTCCAGGTCAGGCCTGCGCCTGAAGATTGCCTCTACCTTTTGGGCGAATGCGACAAACCAACCTGTTGCGGCCGGAAGCCTGACGTGCCAGGTCTACAAAGAATTGCTGTCGCTGCCACCGCACCCCATCGGAGGGGCAGAAGATGTGTATGTATATATAAGTATTGTATACATATATCTATAGTTTGTAGCCTCTCCTGGAGTCAAACAGACAGAGAATTAATTAGGGTGATAATTTCTGAGGTTTGTGTAGTTTGTGGAGTCAACACTAGGCTACTTTTGCCATTTGCCTAAGCAGATATATGTATGTATGCATATACACATATATGCATGGAAATTGGAGTGTAGTGTTGCGTTTTTTAGGGCGGTTTTGCCCTGTTTAACGAAGATCCCTGTTTTCCTGCAACTATAGCTATTGCAGCTCACGTGGGTTGAAGCACATGCGGGATTTGTGCAATAGTTTTGGGTGTGGAACGTGTGTTTTTGCCTTGCAGGTACTTTGAAGATGAGCAGGTGCTCAGCAAAATCTCACAAAGTCGGGATTCCAAATGAAGACAGGACGCTTATCAAACAGGTATCAATGTGCATGGATTAGATGGCTATGTAAATTAAGTTGATCGTACAGTTGCATGGTTGAACAGTTGAACACTACGATTGGCCATGAAAGTCACATAATTACATGAACATATATATATATATTTAACTATTACGTATTTATATATGACGTACGACAGCCGTTTGAATGATGGATGTGATTTGCTCTTTTGATTTTGCAGTCGTTTCCATACGCAAGTATATAATTCTACTTGCATGATATTGTTCAGAGATAATCAGAAGTCTAGTGCGGTGCTTGATGCGTCTACCAGGCTACACAGTGAAGCGAGAGGAGCTCAAAGATCAAAGGTTGAAGGAGGCCAGCGCTTCCATTTGATGTCAGTTCTGGTAGAAAACGACCATGTGTTTGCTCCCAAACAGAAGTCACTCAAGTTCTATATATGTGTTGGCCTCTCCCCCTGTTCCGGTCCTGGCGGGGGCTAGCAGGCCTGGTGAGGCCTCGAGCCATCCAAATTCTATGACACAAGAGATGAAAAAAGGGAAGATAAGAGTAAGGACCCTTTTTTTAGGCGCATCACAGGTCTTTCCTTCGTTTTTGCAATTGATTGTTGCTTTATTCAATTGCGTTGCATCATATTCACTATCAACCAGGACCCTCATTAAGGATTTAGAACCAAGAAAATGAACGGATAGAAAGAACAACATTGGGAAAACATGATCCTGAGTAGGTCCCCTAATCCATTGGACCCCTGGTCCTTTGGCCCCCTAGTCCTCTGGTCCCCCGGTCCTTTTCCTGGTCCACTGGCTTCGTGGTCCATTGGTCCAAAAACCCGAGGTTTGCGATGCCCTTTGCTCCTAGTACCTTCTTGTTCCTGGTAGTAAGGCCAGGAGCCCCTAGTAGCGTCCTTGCTCCTAGTAGCGATGCCAGGAGCCCCTAGTAGCTTCTTGTTCCTAGTAGCGAATTTTGCGCCACCCCTGCAAATCAATAAAGGTAGCCGGTTGCCTCGGTCCTTTTGTCTCTTTCTGGGTGCGCTTCATTGATCAGGCAATGGGGTGTGTAGTTTTCGATGATGATCTATTTTGTGGTGCCTTCTGAGCCTGGTGGCTTTTGATTTTTTGTTTGCTCTGGGAGGGAGGCACTGCGCCCTCCTCCCAACCCCTTCAGGCGTCACAAAATCTGCGCTACGTTTGCCAATGCGCTGCTCCTACCACGATAGAATTGTTTAAAGGTCACCTACACCTATTCCATGCCTTCGCCTAAGTCTTTTTGGTTATATATGTGTTGCAAGAATCCTTTCATTGTCCTCTGGTGGATGATAGGGCCCAAATGTTGCGGTGTCCAACATTTCTATCCTTTCGTTCTCTTTTGTTCGCTTTGTGTTTTGGTTAGCTCTGCGGGGGGGACTGACTGATCCTTTTGTCGCCCACCCTGCTGCTGTTGTCCCTTCCCAGTCTCTGTTTCCTTTGATTGCTTTCATTGCTCGCTCACTGGGATTTTGTTAAACCCATTTCTTGTTCTTTTGCTTCACTTCCCTTTGAATATTTATTAGTGATGCAGTGTTTCATCCCTCACACCCTTATTAAGACATGGATGTCAATACCCGAACGAGTCCATCATGTTGTGTGCTTGAGACCCGGGTAGCTTTCTTTGGGTCTTGGTTTCATTTGGCTGTATCATACACTCAGCCACATTGATGGCACGGTGGCTGCATGCTCATTGATTGTAGGCGGAATAGTAAACATGTCTTGCATTTGTTTGAACTGTTTGGCGAGCTGCTAGAATATTCAATGTCTTCCAGAGTGTCGTCTATACATGCTCTTTCGTCGTGCGCAAAGCCACTCTATTGAACAAATATCCAGTTGGTTATGATCATTGAACATATTTGAACATCGTTTTTCGTTTACTGTAACCCCGAAGCTCTAGGTTTAGCCCTCAACCTCAACTAAAGCTGCTTCAAGAGATTGTTTATTTATACAGATGTTTCAAGTGAGTAGACCACTAATACCCTGACATGGATTTATTAATGATTTGTTTTGTGTTTTGGTCGTTGCAATAAAATACACCACTGATGTTCCTATCGATTTGTTCGTTGTATTTGGATTTCTTATTGTTTCCGGTTCATGTTTGCTCCTGCGACTGAGCTGGTTCTTTGAATCAAACGGTCCATATGGGAATTACAATAACAATTTTCCTGGGGGGCCAGGGGCATCCTGGAATTGAAATATATGATGTTTTTAGTGCTGCAGAAGAACAACATGCAATACTTGAGTTTGCAACAAAACTCATCACTGAACCTTGGTGTCCTCTTCATGTCTTTCGGATTTCACAGCGTCGAGCACCAGAGGAATTCAAAAGGAAACTGGAGAGGACAAGGGTGTCCTTTTCATTTCTGGTTGCATCTCGTTCTAAAAGCAATTCAACGAAAGGAATTTATATATGGTCACTTCCGTTTGTATCGTTTCCAAAATATGTACGCAATTCCACACAAGGAAAAGTGAATGTCCTATGTCCTTTCTAAAGGCACTTCCTGGACCAGACTCCAAATTCTTTTGGGGGACACTGTTTCAGAGGCTTTCTGAGCAGACTTTTGTCAGCAAGAGAACTAGAGGATCCATGAGGATCCAGCAAGCGTGTTTCTTTGTCAGGGAAAGCGGATTTCAAGAGCCGAGCTAGGCCTTCCAAGAGCTCATGGACTTTACATATCGACGAGTGGGGCCCTCTGGTCACTGATAATCGAAACTCTATGTTTTATTTTGTCATTTTGTCGCCAAAAGAGTACAAATGGGGAGTTCGCTAATTAATGGGCAAGTGAAGTCAGCCTTTCATATGTCAATTGTTGGGGTTTATGACATGTCCCTACCCCCAGATGACGACAGCTAACATTTTCCAAGTCTTGTTCCGAAGCACCAATCATTCATCGCAGACCTCTTTGGCTAAATGTCGAAAGGTAGACGGTCATGGAATAGTTACTAAATAATGCCTGCCCAGACAAGTAGCACTTTGTGTATTGGATGCACTTATGAGATCGTGTGCTTCAAGCTTAACACCTCAAATTGTGTGTATATATATATATACATACTTGCATCGAAGCTATCAGCTATCGCCATGTGTTTGCCGATTCACCGTTTCTCCATAAATTAATGTACCTAGTGGATGCATCTGCTTAGGCAAGACCGTTCGTTTGAACTTTGTTGTAGACTGGCTGTTGTTGCACCGAGGTGAGGACCAAAGATCGGCGGGGAGATGTACCGCTGGGAGCCCCATGTGAGCGTACGCAAAGGTTGTTGTTGTTGTTGTTGTTGTTGGTGGTGGTGGTGGTGGTGGTGGTGCTTTAATGTCGGGTTGAATTCATTAGACAGGTTTTGGTGCTGGATTTCTGTGACCAGTCTTAGGAGATAGATTGAATGTCCAAGCCTAGGAAGTCGTACAGCAATATTTCTCAAGTCAGAAAAGTGGGAGGCAAACGTCCAAAATAAAAGGATGGTAGCACATTCGGCGTCGCCCGGGAGCTTACAACATTCATGGCACGTACAGCCGTTTTTTGTCGACATCTACTCAACAGCCCCGGGAGCGACAGCAGCAACGGCATCGGCACGAATAGGGTAGGAGCAGCAGAAGTAGCAGCTAGAAAAGCACAGATGTGGCCTTAAATCCTGGTAGGTTGACCTCCGGGTACCATATCTAATTCTGTTCATTTTGGGTGGTCAACCAAGGTCCTGTGGGTTTTGATCCATGGCCATGTGGGAACGACACATATAGGTTACAGGCCATCGCTATTAGGTTGGAGGCCAGCGCTATTAGGTTGGAGGCCATCGCTATTAGGTTGGAGGCATGGCTATTAGGTTGGAGGCCATCGCAATTAATAGCGATGGCCTCCAACATTGGAGCCAGTGTGAGCCTTTGAGGTCACGTCTCATCGTCGAAGAAGCCATTGTTGCGCAGCGGCACTCTATGGTTGTACGGTCAACTGCGTGTTACCCGCCAGTGAAGGCCCACAAGTGGTGCGTTTGGTGAGCTTTTGATGTCAGCTTTTGTGTAGGCGTTTGGGGCATCTTGGAGATGTGATTGTAACATACTGTAACTAGTTACTTGAGTGACAGTTAAAAAGGATATTTGGGGCAAGAAAGCATCCACCAACGAATTTGGTCTGGAAGGATGTCAAAGAATTGTTGTGAAAAGAATTGATTGTGTTGTTTCCTCTCGCCTTAGTGGGCTGCAGCATTTAATTCTTAGTTTTCCAATAATGTACTGCAGCGACTCGCGCGATTTCAGGACATAGTTGCACCAAGAGTGCATATAAGCAAGTGGTATTTTCAATATTGTCAAGGTTCACAACGCGTTTATCTCATCAAGCCCAATGCACGCAACTCTGGCGTATGTCTGAGTCGCGAGCACAAGATGTTTTGCATTGAGGTTGTGCAAAACCTACCGAATTTCGTGGAGTATATGAGAAGAAGAGAGGAGCGTTATTTGTTTCAATGCAGACAAAATGGTTGAACATGTTAGGACATTTGCCCAGCCATCACTCTCGTGAATATATTCTTGTAAGGAGATCCGGAAGCACTGCAAAGCCAGCTTTGGCCTAATTTGGGACGGTGTTTGGCAACTGCATGTGATGAACCATGATGAACCTGAACCTGTTAGGTGCAAGTGGGCTTGTTGTCTATCGTGGTCTAGATTTGCTTCATGAACCGAAACTGACTAGTAACAAGGGCATTACTACTAGTAGCTAGAGGCTACTAGTAGCTATATTTGCTAATAGTAGTAATGCCCTTGTTACTAGTAGCTAATTTGGTTGCTTCGAATCCCTGGATTTAGTGTGTTGGGATCCCCTTGGGAATAAGACGCTATAAAATGGAATGCCTGTGAAGGATTTTTATAGTAAGCTGTCTGCGCACATGGATTACTATAAAATACAGAACTGCTCAGAGCTGAGGTCACAACATAATTTTTTTTTCACGGTCATCAACAATCTTGTCTGAACGGAACCCATTTTATAGGAATCCAGTTTGGACTGCTGTGGAAGATTCACAATTGATTCTTAGCATTCTATAGACGATGAATTGCTGATAGAGGATGCGCCTTTTGTTGAATGATTTTATAAGAAAGATCACTCGCCGGGCCTCCACACTGCAGCAACATGCCTTCAATACAATGACAAGCAATGAAAGAGAATTGTAAATATTCAGAAGCAATATGAAGTAATACCCATATATGCCCATAAGTTTCCTATAAAGTTAAGAAAGTCAATTCCTGCAATACCACAGAGGGGGGAATATTCCTGTATTATTGTCTATTCTTTGAATTTATAGCAAAGTAGTAGTTGAAAGGTTGATTATATAGATGTATAGCGATCCATGTTTGCTATTTAACTCCTTGTGTTCTGAAAAATACAATTTTATAGTATACAGTGCCTTTGTATGGATATGAATCACGCGCATCAACGCTTGCCAATTACTGACCTTTGGTCGACCAATCGCCATGCCGATTCCAGAAGGATTTCCTACACAATGCGTGACTAGACTCAATTTTGGTTGACTGCAGTCACTTTTAACATGTGCACTTGACCATCATACCAAAGTGTTAAACTGATTTGCTGAGGCCGTTGGGATGTGCGTAGAGGAGATGGAGCCTGCAAGTTGGGATGGACGGAGAGGAGTCTTCCGTTTCTTGTTGGCATCCAGTTACAGTTACTATTCAATGTCAACTTTTGCTCATCATAAGGTATGAACAAATCATAGCAGATCATTTTCTTATACCTGTTCTCAAGCTTCTGAACTCCATCAGAGCTAAGTCGCTGTATGCAAAGCACGTGGAAAGAACAATCGTCCAAGCCATCACTGCTGCTATTGGAAACCGAGTCTAGGCTGCAAAGGTCGACAATATATTTATTTTATAGGGAATTGTTCCTGTATGAGGACCAATCAAGTCAGATCTTGATTCTATAGTGCTATTATCAAAGCACCCACCCTACACTGGCAGAGCAGAGAAGGTGAACGAGCGTGAGCGCTTGATTGCTTATCCATAGTTTTTTGACGTATTTTGACATATATTGATTTTATAGGGATGATTGATTTTAGCAAGATCCCTCAATGTAAGTCTCCATTCTATAGTGTACAGATTTTACCCGAAAGCACCAGTGTATACCGACTGACAGACACCGGGCACACCAGTCATATTCAGTCTGAGGGTTCTAGAAGTCACTGAATATTTGGAGAAATACAATTTTATAGGGATTTATTTTCTTATGTGAGGACCAATCAAGTGAGAGCTTGATTCTATAGTGCCGAAACAGATAACATCATTCCACCAACCCACACTGGCAGAGCTGCAAAGTATAGATATTTATTTTTTTTCAGGAATGAATGTGTTTTCCAAGTTCCATTAATGGAAGTCTCCATTCTATAGTCTACAGATTGTACCCGGAAGCAACACTGTAAACTGACAGACAGGCAAAGGGCACACGAGTCTTATTCAGTCTTTATTTGTTGCAAGTGTTTGGCGGTTCCAGAAATCAATCTTATAGGAATCTTTTCTGGTGTGAGGCGTGAGGACATGTGAGGACCAATCAAGTGAGATCTTTGCTCTATAGCGCAGAAATTCATTATTTTTTTCATTTCTGAGGAGTGACAGGACCTGGAAGTTTTGCTTGGCGATTTCGAAAGAAGCCCCAATTCGCAAGGGTGTCCAAGAGCCTTGGCTTCAGATCACTGTCTTGGCAGGGCGTCGGAGGGCGTTGGGAAGGCGTCGGAGATATCAGAGCAATGCTGAACATTTCCACCAGTTGGAATCAAAAATGAAGACTCACTAGTTGGAATCAAAACGCTCTAACTGATTTTTGTTTTTGGTGATTCTATAGGGACTTGTTTTTGTACCAGGACTGACCAATTTAGATGTTGATTCTATAGGGTTGAATTGTTGCTTAGAGTAGTCTCGGACATAAAAGAACGTGAAGCGGCTGTCCTGATTTGAAAGAACTACAGTAGTAACATGTAGTAGCAAAGGAAAAACAATTGAAAAACACACGAAAAAACATGTAAAGAAACTTGATTTTATAGGAATTCATGCTTTTCAGGACTAGTTGATGGTGATTTGTTTGATTCTATAGTGAAGAGTAGCTATGCACTGCACACGCAGATGCTTGTCGCAACAACCTAGCAATTCGCAGCTCATGGGCTCTGGGCACTCCTCATTTTGCATTTGCTTGCATCAGCCATGTCCCTACTGATGCTGCTAGCTTTGGTTTGGATCTCCCACGCGCGCACTGACCATGAATTATTGTGGCCAGGTTGCAAGAACTATGAGAAATATACAGTATAAAATGCATAAAATATCATTGAAATTACGCCACACTATAGAAACAATACATTCTATATATTGTATAATGTGTTCAAAATGTTTGTAGTCCTGATACGCGTTGATATTCAATTTTATAGCTTGAAACTGACTTTCTTGCGTGTAATTTTGACTGTATATGGAAGCCTCTAGAAACTCCAACCCAGGTATCCCGAAGTTGTAGAGTGTGAGTCAGGAACGAAGATGGAGGAAGCTTTGCTTTCTATTCCTTGGTGATCATTATTTTTCTGGGTGGAGCTTTTTTGTCAACATGTTTGCATCTGATAGCAACGAAATGGACGTACAGCTCCAGGGACTCCAGTGTGTCGAAGAAAGAATCCTTTCAGCCACATCGCCGAAGCTCGTTGTCTTTGAAGACGCTCATGGAAGAGAATGCTCAGCTGTCCGAAGAAAAGCAGGAGCTGCTGGACAAGATTCTGCTTCTAGAAGCAAGGGTGCAAGAACTCGAGAGTAGTGCAAAGCATAATCCAGTGATGGAGGTTTGTGTGGCTCAGCATGGAGACAGGTACCATGTCAATCGCCACTGTCAGCACCTCCGGAACAGGCCAAAGGTGCGCAATCTTGGTCCATGCCAGCACTGCACCGTGTGACGCGAGCTTGAAATAAGCATCGCTCGTCATGTTAAATGGGTGCCAATGTGCCGAACATGTGATTAGTGATTATATAGTGTTGGTCATCCCCACAGATTCCTGCTATCTCTTGTCAACGACCAGGAGATAGTTGGCACGGGAAGCCTGTGCTATGATAAAAAAACCGAGATAATGACTTTATAGGGAACACACCCTGGGTGCATTGGGAAAAAGCATTTTATAGAACAGTATTGTGTCACTATGACAGGATTCAAGTACCAAATCCGCAGCACATTTAGTGTTTCTCAAGTTGCGTGTGCAGTTGTCCCAAAGAATGAGGGTTAATCAGGGACCTTGGGCAATGCATCCTTTTTGGACATTTGCCTGGATGTGCAGCTTCTTGATGACTATAATGGAGGGCCCTTTGCCGCCAATATCTGCAGATACGACCTGCACGATTGGTGAAGAGATGTCTCTAGATTGCAGATGTGTACTTCACTATACAATGCAAAACATGAACGTTGACCCATATGTATATGTATAGAATCATGTTTTTGGGATAGTGTGAATATACTTTATGAATCTTTATGATATGTTCGCTATCGATCGCTTCTTTTCCTTTCACTTGGACATCAGGTGGTTTCCAGCAGAACTTTTCAAAAGAGAGACACGGTCCTGGGCCAGGGCATGGATTGGCCAGCGAAATTTGCACCTGGTCGATGTTTTTTCGGCCTCACAAGGCTTGAAGAGACTCATCTTATCTCAGTTTGTTTTCTTAGCTATTCTCACGGTGCCCGCGCGGGGTGTCAAGCAAAAGATTTCATTTTCCCAAGCCACCAGGAAAGCATGGAGCAGAGCAGGATACGCAAGCGTCGCCTACGATGTGAAACTCAGCAGTGCTCACGACCTTACCTCTCGACGTGGCTTTTATTGTTTGCTGGATATGCTTTTCTCGCATCTCTCCTGGAATGTATTGGTAATTCTTAAATTGGAGGTCAATCCCATGTCCACCATTTTATAGCCTATAAACCTCGTTGGGGGGGGGTGACAGCCTATAGAATGACAATGCATCAAACTGCAAGACTGCAAGACACGCTATAGAATCACTTTCCGCTGTAGATATTCTTGAATTTGTTTGAATGTTTTGGTATATGTTGGTTGCATTTGTTGATCATTGCAATATCTTCCCAGTGATCTGTTCCTTGGTCCAGGTTGGCTCCTGGCGGACTCTGCTTTGGAGCTCCACCATGCAGTCTGTTTGTTGGAGCAAGCGCATCCGTCCACAAGAGGAGCATTGACAGGCTGATGGGCGATGAAGCGTACTTTTCTGTGCGCTTGGCCAATCGCATTTGGGTGAACTTTGTTCCTCGGATGAGTTGCAAGCAGCCCTTGGATTACATTGGATTACTGTATATACACATGAAATCACATGAAGAATATTGAAGAATCACGAAGACGGGATTGGTATTTTGCGTGAGATGGAACAGATATATACTATGTTTTTAATGTATTTTTCATGGATTGTGAATCTTTCTGCTTGTGTACAAGGCTGAAGCTTTGCGCTTGACGCTCTCCTTTCACCCAGACATTGTGATCGCCCTTGAACAACCAGCACAATCATGGGGTTTCAAAATCCCGTGCATGTTGCA